ATAAGGTGATAATGCTGCAGAATGAAGATTCCAGGGTGTAGGAGGTACTATCTCCAGAAAAATCTGGGCATTACACCCTGATTAAAGTCTGCCTCCAACTTCAAAGTCTGGCTTCCAGGTTTTTGCTACATACTATATGATGGCACAGAAGAAACAACACATAATTTTGAAACTGCCTGAAGTCAGATTTCTTCCAACAGAACATATTGAATAAAATAACATACATCTTCAATGAAAAATCAAGCTATAAAAGGCAAATGATATAACAGATGAGACATACAGCATATTTTTAAATCTCCTGGGTGTATCTGCAGCTTTCTCTAAAGGCCTGACCACATATCTGAAGAGAAATGTGGAGGTTAAAAAACAGTGTGATAGCTTATATGTTTAAATACATATACAAATCTGGTAATGTCCAGTATTAAAACACACTTTTTAATGTTATAATTTGATTTGGTCTTTCTGTGTAAGGACAAATATTCCCACAGAACAGAGTAAGTTTAGATTTGATATTAGGAAGAAATTCCTTTCTGTAAGGGTGATGAGGCACTGGAACATATGGCCCAGAGCTGTGGATGCCCCATCCCTGGCAGTGTTCAAGGCCAGGCTGGATGGGACTTGGAGCAACCTGGTCTAATGGGAGGTGTCCCTGACCATGGCAGGGAGATTGGAACTAGATGATCTTTAAGGTCCCTTCCAACCCAAACTATTCTGTGATTCTATGATTAAACCAAACTCCAGGGCCTGCAATGGAGCCCCTCCAAGGCAGTTCTTGAGGTCAGTGTGAAGCCCTTTTCCCAGGGATTTAACCATGTTCAGGATGGAAATGGAAACTTTCTATACTCTACAAAATTTCAGCCAAATAATCTCCAATCTTTCCCTGTAAACATGGACCACTGCAAACAGCTGAAAATATAAGGAATCTTATAGAAAAAAATTACTTTTTTCTAAATTTGGTGTTGGGAAAAAATCAAGTGGTATATGGATCCAAGTACCTCAAATAAAGAAATTTTCCCCTCTCATTTCCATTATTCATAAAATTACTTACCTTGATTTAAAGAGCACTACAAAATTACTGGCAAGTCATTTATACTCCTAATAGAAGTGACAGAGAAAGTAACTGAACACCTTTATGAGAAGCTCTGACAACCTAACCTTCATTGCTCAAGGGGACAGAAAATAAATATCCTGCATTTGCTCAGGAGAGAGGGTGAATGACTCTAGTGTATGAGCTCCAGCACCTTACACTGCCCACATCCCTGCTTGACACTGCAAGTGGAGCACTGCCAGCACAGCTGTGGGTGCAGGGAGGACAGGGGGACAGGGAGGAACCTGGGTCACCCACTGGGCCACCAGTGTGCATCAAGATGCTGCAGTGGGTATGACAGTGATGACAGGGAAATCCCAGCCTTATGGAGTATCTCCCATGCTTCCTGGGGGAGCAGGGAGACATGGCATATCCATGCACTATTCCTGCAGTTCTGCACCACAAATCTCAGCTTGCTTGCACAAAAAGGTGCTAAGATCCTCTGTCAAGAGAGAAAAACAAAAGAAACAATTCTAACCTGCCATTAATAGAGGGCAGGCTGCCAGTTCTGCTGGAGGGAGAGGCTCCCTGCCTGCTGGAGCTGAGTCACAGCCCAGATCCTCACCCAGCCCTTTACAGCTTCAGCAATCCCCTGAAGTCTAGAAGCTGGTATGTACTTGCAATTTAAAAAAATCATGTATGACTAATTATGACCTGCCACTCCTATCTTGTCACCTGGAACTGGACAGTGACATCTCCCTGTCTCATGGACCACTGACTGTAGGGATCGTGTTGGACTCATATGGCTTGTGCTCTCAATGGTGCACCCAGAGAAGGTCTCTCAGCCTTGGTGCCAGGGCTATGGGCCAGGGCTGTGCTCTGGGAGCTGCTGGTGCTCTGGCCTCTGGCCCACAGCTGAGTTATGGCCCTGCAGTGGTGCAGCCACCCTGCAGGCAACACACACGGCACTTCCAGCCCCAGCACAGCCCCAGGGAGGTCCCAGTGCAAAGGCTGGGACTGCCCAGGTGCCCCCCTGGCTGCCCTGCTCCTGACTGGGGCAGAGGAATGGCCAACCTGCCAGGCTCTGTCCTGAGGGACCTCTTGAGGGAGCTCCTGCTGCTGCGCCCTGGCATGGGTAAGCACGTGCCCTCCAGCCAACACCCAGCTTACTGTGGCTCAGCACAACTGCAGTTCTAGATACAAACCTGGGTATTTGAGCCTTCTGGGTTTTACTGTCACAGCACTAAATGTCAGGCCTTTAAAATAAGGTCTGAGCCCAATTAAAGCCCTCCCAGGACTGGAAGTCATGTCCCACCTGAAGAGCCCTGTCCCCCATTTGCAGAGTTGATTCTCCTCCCAGCCCAGGTGCCTCTGCACAGAGAAGTATCTCCAGTGGGCACAGTACACCTGGTGCAGGGGGCTGCCACACTGCAACACAACTGACAGCTGTGTCCCCATGGGGGTGCTCCACAGTGGCAGCACCAGGGTCCCACCCCACAGCCTGAGCAGGCACATCTGGTCATCCACCCTGGTGGAGCACACCGGCTGGCAGCACCCACAGGATGCTCAGACCAGCTCCTGACACCACCTGTGATCCACAAACTGGGAGCAACTAAAACAGACAAACAGAGCAAATGGAGAATCACTGCCAGAACTGTGCAGATCTTTTAGTGTTTAACCTACTTATTGCTCAGAAGACAAATGAAGCATTAAAAGATGTCTCTGGAGTAAAACAATATAGTTAAAAATAACAGATGACTGTTTGGGAAGGTCATTCCTCTCTTGTGAGCAATAGCTGGAAATTATTCTCTGTTTTAACGGTACAAAACAAAAAAGGAAAGAAAAATAGAAACTCATTGAAATCAGCAGAAGAATCTCATTCTCATTCCATTTGAAATGGAATCCAACAACCTGTAACTTCTCACAGCAAAATAGATAAGGTTGGTAAACATTCCTGGAAAGGACAAAATCCTTAAGTGAAGTTATGTTTACAGACAGAAGTTAAGCTCAAAGGAAACTGGCACAGAAGCACACAAAATGGGGACTCTGCTCCCCAGTCACTGAATCAATTGCTTTGTGCAACAGACTGGAGTCAAAGGTGCCTGTTCTTCCCTGCTGAAACACTATGAATGAAACTCACAGGGTAATGCCAGAAACACTGATCCAACAAAGCAATTCAGTCATATCCCAAGGTATTAACATTTGCACAGCTGGAGGACAGAATTCAAGTTTTTCATTATTTATTAACTGGTCTGTACCATAATTACCAGTTGCTTGAGCAGTTAAGGCTACACTGCTCTATGCAAGAGATACAAGGTTCTGAAGAAGCTCTGGGAAATATTTTCCATTACTCATCTCATTAAGTTTCTTCCTTTTTTTTCCTCTGTCCAATCCCTCTGTATCTTTCATATTGTTTATTTTTTCAAATACTTGCCTGTGCTATGTTCATTTCTTTGGTTGTTCTGTCCCAAGTAAAACAGCCTTGTCTTCAGCCAGCTATTTCCTTTTGTCTTGCCAATGTTACTAAAAGAGACTTTCTTGCTGGCATGCACCTCCTCCCTGACCAGCTACCCAGAACAGAAGCATGTCAGAAAACAACCTCATTGACTGAGATGCAGCTTTGTTTTACCATGAAATTATGCACTGCCACAGCCAGCTTCTCAGGGACTTGGAGCACTGTGCATGATGCTTATACCCTTTATACACAGCCTTTATACACAGTGAGGAAAAGGCTGCACCTGTCTCCCATTTTACTTTAGTGTCCTAATCCCCATAAGGATCACATGTATGTTGTGTCTACCTAGACCTCCTTCTGTGGTGGGCCAAGTGATCCCACATGAGGAAATCCAAAAACAAAATAATCTACTCCAGGCTCTGCTCACTGGATGTGCAAGGAAAAGAAAACAAATTTGCCTTTACTGGGGGCACTCCTTCAAATTATACCAATGAAATCATGTACCCTTAAACTTCCTTATTATATGCTCCAGGGCATAGAGTACAACCTACACATGCTATGATAAACCCAGAAAGCCTCGTGCAGTGAAGGACAAATCAGTACACACTGATTAACCAAGCCGGCAGAATACTCTCCCACGTGGTCCTCTAAGACACAAACCTTCTTAGTCACTTCAGGAACCAAAAAAATACACAATAAATTCACATCACCGACCAAGAGAGAACAGTGAGGAGATCAATGATTAAAATCTCTGACAAGCCTGATGCCAAAGTCAGCTTTGTCAAAAGAGACCCATTCTCACTTAGAATCCAGAATCAGAAATCCTGTCCTATCAGTAGACACTTTCAGCTGCATTTCAAGTTAATATCCTGTATCTTTAGTCTCTGGTCACAGCCACCAGTGACTCTACAATGTCTGCTTAACTTTGTAAGAGTGTGGTCACAAAAGCAGAAATCCCTTCTCAGACTGAGAACATTCAAGCCAGCTGGTCACATTTTCCATGAGAATACCCTTTTACAGGAAATGCATCTCAGAGTAGGTCTGGGCTCTACACATAAACACTGAAGAAGCTCTACACTCCAGGGCCATCCAAGGGTAAATTCACACAAGGAAGAAGACAGGGATCTCAGACATATCATACAGTCATACAGTAGTTGATGGCTTTCACCAGCAGTGAAGTTTTGGACTTTGGTGATCAGTTCTGCCTCTGCCCTGCCTACACTTAAACATCAGTATGACAAAAAAGGTCTGTGGAGGAGACTGAATTCTGGAAACATGCTTCCTAGCAGCTTGAACATGCCCCATGAAAGATGTACAGGATTCCTTCTCTGAGGAAGGAGGGACATGCAAAGGTTAACAAGGCATCCTTTGGCTGCAAGGAGCAGGAAATCACTGAGGAAGAGTCAGTGTCATCTCCACAGCTGCAGTTCTATTACAGCATAAACCATAGAGCCCTCTCTCTTTGTATATTAAAATGCAGTAATTAACATTTTCCAAGGGAGCAAACAGAGTACTTGCCTGTATTTATGAATGATGGCATTAAATAACCTTCCATCGCGCCAGCAGGTAGTGAAATTTTCACAACGTACTCCAGCATAACCCTCTGTTGTTTGCTGCGACCACAGGAGCAGTCTCTCTTTAGCAGACATGTCCTCTGACTCCCCAGTAACATGGATATCAGATATCTAAAACACAGTTAATGTAAAAATTAAAGTTACATCTAATCCATAAGAATGTTTAAAATACTGCAGAAAAATCACTCCGCATTGCTGGAGAATTTATTGTCTGGTGTCTGCATACATGAATACAATAATTATTTAGGTACTGTATTAATATTCTCTCATGTCTTATCCTTATGCACTCTTAGTATTTTCAATGTGAAATACAAAATTCAGTTTTCTTCAGTTAGCCAGTTCTCAGTCTCTTAATTTCTGGGTACAATATAATACTATTGCATAATGCAAGATACTTAACTGCTTATTTATGCTGATAATACAATCTATTTTTATGTATGACACTAATTATGTAAAAATGCTATATAAGTATATATAAATTGCAATATGTTTTATATGTATATAGTCATACAATAACCATATTTATATTATTCATAGCTATGAAATTCCTCTCTTGAAAAAAATTGATTTATAGTACATGTCCTGGAATTCAGTGACAAAACAGTCATTTTGAGTGAACTGATAACAGTTTTAAGACAAAATTGTCTGAGAAGTATTTTAGGAATTTTAATTTTAGGACTAAAAGACTGAAGGATTATAAATAGAAATTTTGTCTGATCAAGAAGGTTCAGTTTTCAACTGTATTATCTAAGGATTATCAACTCCTTATCAGGGAAAGCAGGAAAGTATTGGGAATTTTACATCCAAATACTACTTTATGGTACCTTAGATCATCTCTTAATGAAGTTCAGTCAGTTTCCTTGGAAAACTACTACAGCATAAATATAAAGCAGACTTTTCCCTAATTTGCACATGTATTGTTTGTAACTCATATTACAGAAATTGTACTCAATGTAAAGGTAAACTCTAAAATGGAAGAAAAATAAGATGTGCCTTGACAAAAGAATTACTACGGCACGTTTTCATTTTTCTCAGTGACTGCCTTTTACCACTTATCCTAACAAGAGACAATATAAGGTGTTATTATGAACTACATAGGAACCCCTGTACCACAGGCACTATATAACAACCTGAATATGTAGCTCAGCCATTACAAAGAGCAGGCAGAGCTGCTTGGGCAGAGGCAAGAGGGCTTGAGGCAATGCCACAGCTTGTGAATAGACAGCAGGCACCTCAATGAGCCCCCCTGGAGGAGGCTGCTCCCACACCCAGCACTGCAGAGACACAGGGGTGCTCTGGCTCCAGAGCCAGCCTGAGGCCACAGCTCAGGGCAGCTCTGCCCACAAACAGCTCTGGGTACTTGAGTTTGATGCAGAAGAGCTGTAAATTGAGCTGTGCCAATTCCAGCAATCCTGTTCCAGCATAAACCAGGCAGCTACACCCATGAGGTCAGATGGGATGGTCATAACAACTTCTCCCAGCCTCAGAATCTCTGCACACAAAGATATCTTCTGTCTGGGCTCTGACCAGGGGAATTCCAACAGGCTAGGCTGGAAATTATGGGGTTTTCTCACATTAGAGCCACAAAATCACAGTGTAAATAATGATGTATAGCTTGTCTACTGATATTGCTATGTCATGGCCTAAGACAAGGTGGTGGGAAGCACTGGGAAGCAGGGAACTAGAGGAAGACCCTTAGAGATGTCAGGGCAATGGAGCTCACTGCAATTTCTGCTTTACCATCTCTCATACTTTCAGAGAATGATGAGCATTTACACCCATACAGTAAATTATAAATAAACTTAATGTAAGGAAAAAAAACCAAAACATTTCTTTCTATTCAAGTAACCCTAAAATCCCAAGTTGTGAATGCAATCCTTCAGATACCTATCACAGGCCATTGTATCTGCTGGATCTACGTAAGGGAAAAATACAAACACCAATGCTAGAAAGCAAAACAATTTTAACTGTTCACCTAGCCCCTAAATAACCTGACAGCATTTTTTGCATCCTATTGTCTCCAGCTTCAGCACATTTTTAAGATAAAACAGAAGGGGGAAAAAAACTTTTTTTTTTTTTTTGTTCAAAACACATTAGAGAACTGTGATCATTTGTAACTTTCTAGGTATCAAAATCCTGCAAAGATTATTTTCTGAATGAAATACACACGGGATGAGTCGTGTCTGTAAAGAAAACAGAAAATACAATGTGGCAAAAGACCAACTTGTAATCACTCTGAAAGTTTTCTTGTAAAAATCTAGGGAACTCAGCTGTAATACAAGATTTTTCTGTGGGTTAGCTTTATTGTTTGGGATTTCAAAGCAAGAAAGCAAACTAAATGTTTTTTCAGTAGCTTTAGTTTCTATTCATCACAGAACAACCAGATCATAATGTAAATGAAGTCAACCATATACTGCTTATCTGGACAAAGCTTCTGAAAGAGATGATGTCATCCCCAAGTGCCAGATGTCTAGCAAAAAAAAAAAAAAAACAAAAAAAACAAACCAACAAACCCAAACCTATATTTTTTGTCTATAATTTTCAGAAAGTCCTCTGTTAATTATTATGTATTATAATCCTTAATTATCAGTTTTTTTAATATACTCTAGCATGAGCAAGCTAACAATGCAATTTGCTAATGGCCCTTCCTTACTGCTGAGTTCAAACCCTCAGCCTCCTTCACGGTTAATTGAGCAGGGATGGATCTGTGCACTTCAGACTGCAGAGAGTGCAAGCACAGCATGTTTGAGTGCACGTTAGATTCCTCTGGAAACAAGTCATTTCAAACATCAAGGTAACTTCTGAAGACTGTACTAGTATCTGGTGTTAGATATAAACAACATTTTAGTCATGGACAGAAACACAAGGAGAATTTTTACTCTGAACATGACTATTAGGGAAGCTCAGTTGAAATTTTGGATGGCTAAAACATTAATTCCATTTATTACATGAAGATCAACAGGTTTTTGATCCAAAATCTTCCAAACATGCTAGCTAGCTATCTGAAGAGTAAGGAAAAGGCTTTTCACTCATAGAGGTAGCCCATTTCACTACAGGTTAAGGAACATTAACATCAGCCTGACACCTGAAACAGCCTGAGCACTTCTGTTCTCTGAATAAAGTATTTCAGCTTTCAAGGCTAACATTTCAGACTTTTAAATAAACATTGAAATAGTATTTTAAAATTAGAAATACTCTAAGTGAAATGGTGAGTCAAATGGTTATATTTAATTACACCTACAAATATGGGCTCTAGTTTGCAAGGTGCCCTATTAAGTTAAAACTTCTTAACAAGTAAAATACCACCACAACAAAATAAGGTGTAAGAAAAAGGGAGAGATCCCATCTTTCCTTTGATAATCCCATAAGGACAGTAGAGATACTTATCCACCAACTATGCATTATCATCAATATTTCTAACATCATTTCCCATAGGAGAAAAACAGAAGAACTATTAAACTAAGAATGATAGAACAGAAAATAAATTAAGGGGAAATCAAATCTTCTACTCATAAAATTTAGTCCTTCCAAGCAAAGTTTGTGTGAACCTTTTGTATCCCACAAGCCTATCATTTGGTCACTATAAACTGCTTAAATAGAGCACATTTGTTCCTTAAGCGGGGAAAGAACGAATTACAGCATTTGCATGAGTTTGAGCAGTTGTTTGCCAGGGATACAGTTCTCCAAATTATCTCAAAGCCTGTGAATTAAAAGTTATGCAAGAAAAAGCAATAAGGTAATTCTCTATGCAGCCCTTCTATTTCAGGATCAAAGTCTTAACTGGCACTAAATACTCTGTCTTGCTTATAACTGGGAAAACATGTTCACTTCTGCTACTGCACATGCTTTTTCTCAGCCTGTAAATTGCCCCTGCATCACACAGTATACAAAATCCAAACACCAAAAAGCCTCAAGCTCTTTCCTTGCACTGATTTTAGTGTTGCAGTTTGGAGCCCAAAGAGCAGAGCAGACTGAAGAAGATGTTTCCAAGAGATCAACAATGCTGCTGGATTTCTGTGGTTCATTTTCACACCACAAAGAGAAGAAGAGCAAGACTCATACAGATAGTAAGAAGTCTACCCTCTGATTCCATCCAATTCTAAATGTTTTGAAGCAAGACTAAACTTGACATAATGCACTAAACTGCACAAAAGTATATAAGGAGCTAGAGTTGCCTGATTCTGGTGGTGTATTATCTCTCTTCCTGGCCACACTATGATCTGAGAAATACTTGTTAGGCTTCAGCAGAAAGTAAGAAACTTTTCTCTCAAAGTTATTAATGAGTAACCAAGAGCAACACTTCAGCGGATCCCTCTAAGCTGAGCTCTGTAATCAGGAAAACAGAGGTAATGAAGCAGCTCACACTTGAACACAAAATCATAATTTTTTACATGCATAAGAAACCATGCCACAGCAAGAAACTCAAAGGATATATTTCAGTAGAGGGGGCCATACTGTTTCAGAGGGTAAAATGTCATATCTCTGTTACAGTGCAAATTATCCAGCTGTACCAATGAGTTTGCTCTGGTGTCTGCTTCTCAGTTTGAAAAGTCAACATGCCTTCAATTGTGCCACAGCTGAGGCACTGTGTAAGCTGAGAGTACATTACAGCACAGGTAGGTTGACAAGGTAAGGGAAGGCTGCTGATCTCTGTAATTATAGTAAAGAAAATAGTAAAGCTGAGATTGCTAACTGCAAACTTTTTGTGCCAGCTCAGGCCATCAACAGGACCTTTGCAAGCTCTCATAAATGCCAGCTTTGCTTAGTATAAAAAAGACAAATATAAGACATTAAAATGCTTTTTTAGCTCTCAAAAACAATCAGAAGGAAATTGGTTATGAGTTTGTACAGTAATTAAAGTCTGAAATCTAGTTTTTCCTGGTTTTGTTTAGAGGTCAAACCTTGGTGTTCTTAAAATTACTTATACTGAGAAACTTGGGTTGAGAAAGAGAACTGAACTGATTTTAGCAACTGAGGCATTTAGCCTGATGTGTCAGTAGTTTCATATTCCTGAAATGATTTCTCAATATCAGTTGATGTAGTTGCTCAGCACAAATCTTCTTTTTTCTCCCTTGCTCTGTGGTAACAAGAGGTATAGACCTGATTGGAGT